CAGTTAAATAACCTTCAAATAGGAGCTGAATCACCTTAATTTTCCTGACCTATATCCCTTATATATAGTCAGTCCCTAGCTAGCTTCCATAGTAATTAGCACCTACAACATCTTTAGTTCTTGCAAGACAGAGCTCGTCGCGAGGAATTTTCTGTACTGCCTGAGACTAACTCCTTTCGCCGGCTCGATCTTTTTTTCCATCTCGTCACAGATTGCATCCCGCCTGTTAGTAGGCTTCAACAAGCTGCGAAGTCTATCGAAATGTGTTGACATTTTTCTTSTTGAGCCACTGGCTGCAATACTTTCTTCCCTTTCCTCCCTTCCCTCTCGTTCTTCTGTTTCATCGATTTTGTCGCCATATTCCTCGCAGACTCGTAAATAGCACGTTTCTTGGAGCTTTAGTGTTTGCGTTTTACAGTTTTCCAAGCACGATTCTTCCTTTTCTGCAATTTTCGATGCATTCTCCTGGATATTTTTAGCTTGAACATTTGTTTCAGCTTCGTGGTTTTTGCGCTTGCTTTGTTTTGTCTTTTGATCATCGGGTTCGTCTTGTTCCTGTTTATACGAAGATGGTCGATGAAATTTGGACAAGAATTTTGTCTTCATCTTTGAACAATTGCATCTACGAGGCATTTTGCACCACTCCAAAGCATAAGCTTACAGTTCCACTAGCTTTTTATCGTCTTCCTTCGCCAGAGAAAGGGAATTTGAATGTCTTGTTGATTGTTCGATTCAGCCTTTCCTGTTGTTGTGTTAGGAAATTGCAATTTCTTTGATCAATAATAGATGTCAATTATACCAAAAAATGACGAGCCAATTTTTATCCTATTTGGGATCTTGTCTAAGAAGCTAAAAAGCTTGTGAGATGCTTTTGAATAAAAATGGACCTTCAAGATCTTTCTTCTTGATATTCTGATCACTGATCAGTACTTTCCTTTCAAAGTGACCGGTGTTCTGCTCTCAGTACTCCGACACGTTACCTTTTAAAGTTTGTTTGCTTAAGAAACGTGATAAACACTTTGTACGACAGGGATGATTTGCGCAAGAGAAAACCAACAAGTCGATAAGAGCCAGAGGCTTTTGAGATGATTTCGTCAAGCGAAAAGCTGTGATTGGCTCCGCTTATAGTCACCTCGAACGACTTCTCTTGTTCCAAACGTAAATCTCATTAGATTCTCGGCCTTATTCCTAAGTCTTATCTCCGAAACACTAGCCTCTAGCGAAAATATATTCTGACAGCTAGTTCCTTTCAGTCGTATCTCGAGTTACCTTCAAATAGTTCACAGGCCTTTTAAAAACCTTTTAATGGACGATAAACTGAATGAACATTTCTAAATAAAAAACCTTAACGATTTTGCGTCACGATGACTATATATATATTTTAAACATTCTAATAGTGCTCGTTGACATGCTTTATAACGGTAAGTTTATATGGGCGCGGCACATCTGAATCCCCCTCTGCGACTCGTATTGGAACACTGCGCGCTTTGCTATCCRTAGTCGCAAAGGCCTCGACTTTAATTGAAATCAAAATTATACATGAACCACTATATATGGAGCACCCTAATATCTTGATTATATAGTTCAAAGTCATAGAAAAAGAAAATTATATTTTACACTGTTTTTAAACCTAATTTTAAACCTGTTTTTTGACAACCTAATCATCTAATTTATTGAATGCCGACATAAGATTTCAATGTACAAATAAGTATATTTCTTATAATTGGTTATGACCGACTTTGTTCTGAGTCACTTTACGAAGGTCTCAAGATTTGGATTTCAAATCTAGATATATAGTAAAATCGTCCATATTATAAAAGCAATTTTGTGACTTTTTCGATTCAARATGGCTCAAACAAGAAAAAGTATAATGTATACGGTATTGAAACAAAAGGCTTGCGCGCGTCTTCGAGCTTCTTTCTTTTTCGAACAGTGCGTTAGATGACATGCGGCAAGTGCACACGAATCTCTCTTGACTAGATCAGCTAGAGTTTCTTTACTCTTGTCTTATCATGTCCTGTTTAGCCGGAAAGAGAGCTAGGTATACCCAAACTGACGTACGCTATTGGCTCTCTTGACGCACCTCGTTAGTAAATGTYGTAAGGCATTAGTAATATTTACTTTTGAATCGCTAAGAAAACAAACTGAGTTAACAAGATCTAAATTGGTTTTCGAACAAGGAAAATTATGCAGTGTTTACTGATTTAGACAGATAGAAATTACTTAACGACCAGTATCTCGATGTTCAAAGGCTAAGTAAAGCTAAGTACTCGTCTTTTTCCTATTTCATTTTGCTTTTCATTGCTTTACTCTCTCTCATTTTGTTGCCTCGAGTGCTAGAGGAATACCGCTAGGAAATAAAAGAAGTGACAATAAAGAGGAAATCCGCGATGACGTCCAGTAAACGTGAACATGTATGGAGATCTCCATCGTAATCCCGTGAAAAGGCACTACACTTCGTTATTCTCTATCCGGCCAACTTGCTAAATACGTAGTTCGATCGCGTCATTGATGCGAAGAAAAGTTAGTAGACCCCAAACCTTTTTTTGCAATTCAAAGTAAATATATATATATATAGTATAAACGAAAAGGCATTTGGCGAGATACGTTTTTAACAGTGTCAGCCACTGTAAGTTCGTGGGGGAAAACATTCAATACGCCGAAGAGAAATAGTTTAATAGAACGTGCTGGCGTAATACATTTAGCTTGTTTTTTACGCATTTGTAGCCAAAATCAATGAAGATAAATCGAAATCTTGAAGCAATTCACATTCTTTGCGCTAGCGCGAGACATTTAGCTTATTTTTACGCATTCATAGTCCGCAAGCAATTAAGATAACGAATTGAAATCTTGAATCAATTAATGTGCAAAAGACAATTTTTAGTACCGAGGTATTTAGAGGCCAGTAAATTACGGTTAGATTTTATCGGCTCATCTGTCTGGTTTTTTGAGTATGTTCGTTCTATTTATCTCCTTCAGGCAAGCACGTTTTGAAATTTGCTTGTGCGAGGTTAATTATAAGAACTGCAAAATTCCCCTCGTTTTTTTGGTTCTCAGAACTCCGTTGCTTGACGTTTTGCGGTTATTTTGCTACGACGTATCGCCGAACTCCAACGAACACAGGCTAGAATTTTACTATTGACTCGAACTCTGGTGTCGCGAATTTTATGTCTTTCGTTCGCCAAAGAAAAGTTACTATTATCGTATTATAAGAGAGGGGAACATTGTTCATTTGAATGCAATAAGTTATGCAAATAAACTCCTATACTACTCATTTTTACTACTCATTAACCCAAAACAGAACATCGAGATTAATGTATACGTATATTATTTACAAGTCTGGAATCATAGAATGAAGGCATTTAACCGTGAAATAAATAAATGTTAGTTAACGTGCGATAGTCGAATATCTATTTCAAGGGTTTARTGACTTCACTCTAATAGATAACCATCATCGTCATCCACTTCGTATGTCTTATAAAGAACTAACTATCTAGCCATCCAACCTACCAGCAATAAAATCTATTCTTTTCGTGGAAAGAAATGGGTTAACACTCTTCTATTCTCTGGRAGGCGGGTATAAGATCCAAAAAGCCTTGTATTTCTTAAACATACGGGTAGAGTGTAGTCTCCCTCGCATCCGTTTTTAGTGTCGGTCGAAAGCGGATGCGAGGGAGACTAGGTAGAGTGCAAACAATTCTTGGTTTGCAATCAATCCCAAGAAAGCCGAATAACAAAAGGGATGTCCGCCATGTTGGAAGATATAACAAAAGAATTCATTGAAAAATCTTTTGTCAAATTCTTCCAGCATGGCGGCTATGAAGTCTATTGCAAACGAAGAATATATCCTTGAAATATTAGTAATGCTAACTTACGCTATTTTATGCTAATTCTATTCTTTTCTTTCGTTTAACTAGCACTATTAGTGTTTCACGGATATATTGTTTGTACTCTATTAAATTTCTTTTGCTAATTTATCTGGTAATATTAGTTCTAATTCATATAACAAGGTTTTATATTATCTTTAACGGGGATTAAATTCTTTACTATTTCAACTAGAACCGCCAAGCAAAGCCACCATACAGGGGTGTGGCCCACGGGGGTGAGGGGTCTCGCTCCTCTGATTATTGTATATTATCATTATTTATCATAAAACAAATTGGTCGCGCGCGGATTTGATCTGTTCTCACAGATACGCAGCGGCCAACAGATTTTCGCAGATTTTCTTGTAAGCCCAGGTGTCTCCTTTCATACGCTTCCGTCGAATACCTAAAACACATTAAAGAATCAGTATATTGTCTGAAGGTGATTAAGATTTGAGAAAAGGGATACTGTGTAGGGGAGKTGAATCCTCTTTTCAGGAATTCCACCTCAAACAAATTATTAGTACCATTGTAACCTGTCTTGTTCCGTGACATTGGTCTGTGCCAAATACAGTATTACATATATTATTATACGAGTGTCTAATCTGCGTAAGAAGATTAGTGTTAGGAGAAGATATTTCATATGACGTTAGAATTTAAATATATTGGCCCTCTGCTTCAAATACTGCATATATTTAGATGCACACACGTTTATTATACTCGATACAAGGTTTTTGGATTCCGTGACGGTGTGAGTGACGGTGTGGCTATACCCTGGGGTCCAGAGGTTCTTTGCTGTTTTGAAGGGAAGTGAGAAAGCGAAACAGAATCTCTGGAGATAATTGTTACTTGTTCCGATAGCASGGTTATGAAAATGCGCGGAAGAATCTAGATGTCTTAACTAGCGTGGCAGTTGCGCAGGGCGTGGCATGGAAGGGGGTGGGGGCAGAGGGGCGGGCTATAGCGAGCACTAAGCATGTGGTGCTACTTACCGATGAGTTCCATCTTTGGTATATGACAAACTTCCATTTCGAATTCTAAAATAACCTTCCCTCTGTCATCTATGGTCTTGCATCGTACTGAATACCTGTTAGACAGTACAATTCTATCAAGCCCCTGATCTGATGTAAGACGAAGAACGAAGGGGAGGGGGAGGGAGGAGGGGGAGGGGGAGGGGAGGACGTTTATTCATGACGGAGGGGGAGGGGGAGGGGAGGACGTTTATTCATGACAAATTTTTCCGCATGTCACCAATGCACGGCTACGGTACATTAATGACATTGCCAAAGGATACAAACTATTGCGCATAACAACACTTTACTCTTAGACATCGTGCGGGTTTACGCAGGTTTACACTATGATGCTTTTCCCAATAGAGGTTTTGCACCACCACGTGACGACAACCATGTTAGATGGCAGGAACAATACAATCGTCTTACATGAGAAAGAGCTCAATTCCCGAGAGCAAAGGGACTTTATTGTTCTGCCATCTAGCCACAGGCAGTCCAAGCTGGATTATGGGCGCCGACACGTGATGGTGCAAAACCTTTATAGCTGTTATTACAATTGAGCCCACGATGGTATATTCTTTTGTTTTAAGAATCATACAAGTGATGTTTTCGGGTCAATACAACGATTGTCTCATTTGCATGTATCCATAATATCCTCTATTCAAGAGCTCTTCTGATCTTGATCGTTATATTCAAGTACTCAGCTCCACYAATAAAATCTTCACGTCCCCCTGGCATCAGAGTAGATATATCGGACCGACGATACAACTACACGCATACTCACCCCTTCTGTCTGAAGAGTACGTCAGCTTCGGTTAACACTCGCTTCAACTCCTCCATCACTTCTTCGGGGCTTTTTGTCGATGTCGTCGATACGTTGTATAACGCCTGCAGGATAATAACAAGATGAATAAATCTGSCTCAGACGAGCAACGCAAATACAAACAGAAACACAAACGGAAGGGCAAGCAAAGTGAGAATTATAGCAACGCAAAAGCAAGGAATGGAAACGATTTCATTTTATTGCATTTGCGTTTTAAACTTGTGGACCAATGAAAACGCAAACGCAAGACCAAAAAATGTTTTGATTGAAACAAGCACTWCTCCGTTTTCGTGCCTTCGTTTGTTTGCATTTGCGTTTCACGTGTGAACGTTGCTTGCGCTTGCCACTGCACCACTTCCGAAAGTCCAATACACAGCAAAAATTAAATTTTGAATACACTTTTTCGTGATCTCTCTTCGCGCTCGTTATACCACTGAGTTTCATTAGCGAGTTAGTTTTGTGGAACCGTATTAGATTTACATACTTTGACTTTTCGAGGTCCATGCGACGTAAAGCTTCCTTTCTTTGGAGTGATAGCATCAATGACTCGATTTAATCCTTCCTCTATACTTGACATCAGACCCTGTGGAAAAAACACCGAATATTATACTAGAAAATAATGTATAAATAGAAAATGCGCGCGCACTGTTATAAAGCACGCGGGGCTTTGGCAAAACRCGAGAAAGGTGTTAGGGAAAAACACGACGAGTATTAATGTAAGAAATCGGATAAAAAACCCCTCTTAATCAACCTTACCCTTGATCCCCATTTGCCTGCTGTAGAAGGTGTGTCTTTTTCGGATCCCACTCGTTTTCTTGGTGTGAAAGGAGACTTGAAAGGTGTTCTCCAACCTCCTTTGGTTTTCTTGTCGAGATCCGTATCTAACGAGTGAGAAATCCTAGCAACAGATCGAGAAAAAAACAAAAATAGTTACCTCATTATGTATTTCCACACGTACTTGGAGCCAAACTAGAATGCGCAGTCCTGCGACCCATAACTCTCTTTATTACTATTGTCGCCATCATCATCATCATGTAT